TTTAAATGGAAAATAGGTGTTTGGATTCCGAAAGAGCTTACCGGATGCACCCTCGACTTCAGACAGCTCAATTGACAATTTTTTTTTGTTTAAATACTATTTTGGTTGGTTTAGATTTTTAAATTCTGTTCACACTAACTTATCTATTTACTTTAATAAGTGACCAATTTGGTCCTTGTTTGCAAAATTTTAAAACAAATTTTATACAAAATAGAAATCATTTTATACAACTTTATAATTATATTTTTCAAGAAATTTAGTGAGTGAAAAGTGTCATATTAAAATTATCATAGAAAAGGGATAAAAATAAAAATGAAAGTTATTAAAATTGTCACTTTTTTGAAGTAGAGGAATCAAAGTGTACGTTTTTTAAGGTATAAAAACTAAGATAAACAAAAGTTGAAAATACGGTAACCAAAAACTAAAGTCGAGAGTACAACGACAAAAATGAACCAAAAGTTCAAAATACAATAACTAGTTTTAAACCATCACCATCATCATCTATGTTTCCTTTCATTTTACCAAAAATTCTCAATTTCATCCAATTTAACATTATACTTGCGACTAAGATTTAGCAAAAAGAAAGGTAAAATGTTCCGCAACTCACTAATTCTAATGAGAAATTATATAAAATTAAATTGGATTCATGTACAAGATCCATCGTTGAATAACTCTCACAAAACACGCAAATTTCGGAAAAAAAAGTTTTCTCGTTCATTCAGTCGATTTTGTATCAAACATGTATTTCATAATTCATTAAATTCGGATTAACTCTTTTAAACGATTTTTCAGACAAACATATGTAGAAGATAAACTTACAACAATTATTCAAGTTTAAGGTAAAAATTTCAACACTAATCTAAATATGAGGTGCAACTTGATGAAATTGAAAGTTTAAGGTGAAAATTGATATAAGTTGAGTGGTAAAAATTAAAATTCTCCTTTATTTTTTAAAGTCTAGATATAGCTTTTGATTTATATAAATGGTCAAAAACTTTAGATGAGGAATCAAGGAAAAGTCCAAAATTCTACAGACTTTTAGTGACTTTGATTTTGAGTAAATTTACCATTAGTAAATTTTAACATAAAATTAAATCGGTTATCTTCAACCATTTTACCTCATGCCTAAATATTACATTACAACTGTAAAAAGAGAGAATTGAAGTGACAGCTCCTAAAGAGGCCTTAGTGACCGACCACATTAATATCTTTAGGTGGTAGGTTCGACCTAACATGAAAAATAAATGGGTATTTCATAGTATGGTAAAGAAATCGATAAAATATAAAAAATAATATGAATATTAATCATTTTTAACTTAATTAAAATTATTTAAAAATATTGAAATGATGACATGTTAATATAAATATTTTTTATGATTTTTATTTTATGTTTATAACCTTTTCCAAGGATCCCTCTGACATCAACATTTTAACGATATTTTCATTAAATTGAAGTCTCAACATTCAATCAACATCGACATTTAAAATTTTACAACATAATACTATAACAAGATCATCTTATAGGTTAAGCATACTGAATTAACTCAAACTTATAACACGATCATCTTCTAGGTCGAACGTACTGAGTTAACTCAAGCTTTTAGCTCGATTCTGTAAGCTCTAGTTGTAGCACCAACAAACCCGCGAACAGATGGGAGAGGATTAGTACGCAATGGACGATTTAATTTTTATACTTTAAAAATGTAACGATTGAATCTTAATTCCTAAACTTCGGGAAAAAAAATGTAATGATCGATAGGACCAAAATTTAACTCGAGGACTTGACCATTATATATATATGTATATATATACATTTAAATATAAAGACTAAACCGTTGCAAATGTTAGGAGAGTCCGAATACATTAACCTCAACATTCTGATGTATACTTATATGACCTTTAGAAATCATTGCATGTAAAATCTGCAGTGCTCCACTGCCTTCCAATAATTTCTGTACATAATATCTATTAAAATTGAGAAGAATTAAAGATGAAGATTTTCCACATTATTTCATGACTTGCTCTCTACTTCTTCTCTATTTTTTTCAACTGAAGATCTTATCACCTTCACACGAAATGCTGCCTGCATACAAACATTAAAAAAAAAATTATGACAAGATTGAGAGATGAATTGATCGACATTCTCAACGTCGTTAACTCAGATCCATTAGAACTTTCTATATTCATCATATTGGTTGAGGACTAACCCGAAAATTCCAAAGTTTTCAGTCATCACTTACCTTCCTATCTGAACCAAACTCAATAATGTCCGATTGATGGAAACGAGCTGGAAAATTGGGAGGTATGCAATACCGCCTTCCTTCGTTACTGCAATCATATTTGCAAGAATATATCTTGAGCTCTATATACCCTTCCCCCGCCCCGCCAAGTAAAAAGAACTGCCTCATAATATATACTTACTCAGTGAGCCAGGTACCATGTTCACTCCTCAGATCAGTCACGAAGAAGGCCCCGTCTTTGTAATGAATCTGAGCGTGCTTTTTTGAAACCTGCAATTAACGAAAAACAAACTAGTTTAGATTGTTTCGATTTTCGACCATCAGCAGTAAGACAGGGAGTTCTTTTCAAGTGTATAAAGTGTAATTGTTCCACCTGAGGCAACGGTATAGCAAACGACGTCCCTGAATATACCGTCAGCTCCGTACTTCTGCAATAACATGTATTAAAAAAAGAATTCCCTTCATGAACATACCAATTTCGTTAGGCTACCCGAAAGAAAAGAGAACATAAGCATACCCAATCACACAGGCCCCATTCTCGTCTCTGCTTAAAGGAATGGGCTGAGAAACACCAGCTTCGTCTCCCTGTGGCAATAGAAACCACCTGAAAAACAAACCGGTTTGGCTCTAATGAGAAGATCAGAGCATCCATTGCTAACATTAAACGGGCAATCCGGATTGTGAGCTTACTCTCCGTTAATAGCACGCTCCAGGGCATCGTCATCTTCAAACCATATACGCAATTTATCGTTTGCCTTCACGAACATTATTTCAAGAAAATAAATTTCAATGGCCAAAATGGAGAATGTAATAAGATTCACTCTTTGCTATAAACAGACTGAACACAAAATTAATTGTAGATTACATACTTTGTCTGAGAGTCTGCAAGATGGTGGCCTCCCTTCTAATTTTGAACTGCAGAAGAAAAATGAAAAACCCCTCAGTTTTCATTAAAAGAGAAGGATGGAAGAGACAAAATTGAAGAAGAAATTGACAGCAAAGAAGATGGAAACCAGAGGAATAATCAGTCTTCGAAATTTCCAAATGCTCGGAATCCTCAGATACTTCTAGCCTTGATCGGGGAGCTTGAAATTGATCAAAATAGAGTTCTTTTAGTATATTGGAACAGAGGGTGGGTCTGAAGGGGATCCAAAATGACTACTTCAGGAAGGTGGTTCAGGTTTTTAAAGGAAAAGGGTGATTATTTAATGCCTACTGGTCTGGTTAACAAAAAGGTAGTTAAGATTATGCTGTTAATGGCGGCAGCCCTTCTCCAGTTTCAAGCCTATTGGTGAAAGAATTAGTGAATCCATAAAAGATTCTATTTAGGGTGGAGTGCTTTGAGTATTTATAAGAGTTGGGTGTTTTCTTAGTCCTATTCTAGAAAGAAAAGAAAAGAAAAGTAAAAAAAAAAAAGAAGAAAAAAGAGGTATGAGCAGCCAAAATTGGGGGTTTGGAAGAGACAGTTGAGGCGCTTTTCTGCGTGGGGGACGGTTTTCTTAGGGAGCTTTTTGTCATAATCCAAAGCTTGCTAAAATTGGAAATGTCTGAAGAAGTGCTGATAAAACACTCAACAAACAGAATAAGTGCTTTGAGAGGCAGCACTTGGTGCTTCAACATGGAGCGCCCAAAGTTACCATAAACTTTTGAAATGGATCTCTAGGAGGTTTCCTGAGAAGTTTTGTGAGGCAAGTACATTTCTAGAGGTCCCAAGAAAGGGTTGTTTTTAGCTTTTTCGGGTATCTTTGAATTTATGTCAACCTCAACGTAGCCCAAAGGTGGGAGGTTCAAATCACCAATCTCACATACTGTTGAACTCAAAAAAAAAAAAGAAAAAGAACAGAGTTTTTCACTAGGTAACTTTTCAATAAAATTTTTCCTTTTAAAAAAGATTAGAAATAAAGAGATAGAATTTAAGGAATTTACCTATTACCCCCTAAGACCCAATTAAGCATCAAGGGCATTGCAAGGTCAATAAAAAACCTTCCACCAACTCGTCCTGGATGCGGTATTCTAAACTGTGTCAAAAACTAGAACATCGATCGAATTTCATCAGACATACTGTACAGCCTTGCCTCATACAAAGATTCGTCTACTGTTGAATGTTAGTACATACATCAGTTTCTTACCGAAAGCGGGCCGAGTCCTACTCCCAAATAAGCTTTATAAGTGGAAGCCATTAATGCAGCCATTCTTGCCATTCCATGGATAACAGCAACCCGTATTCTTCTAGAACTCTCATAACTAGGATCATTTAAAAAAAAAAAAGACAATTAAATTAATTAAATTAAAAAAAGGGTGAGAAAAGATATTGACATATATTTCTACGGTTCAAACTGTAAGCCAGCAGCAGATTTGTTAGTCTTACAATGTTACTTATTTGGAAAACTGGGTAAACAAAATCCTTGAATGTAACTATCTAACCCCTGAACTTTTATCTGTTCTGTTTTAGTCCCACAACTGTTTTAGATTATTTTAGCCCTTACCTTTATTAATTATTTAATCTGAATCTAAGTTAGATTTGAAACCCCTAATACCTAACCTATGTTGTTACCTTTAAATACTTGTTCATACGGACATTTTTCAAGTAATTGAAACATATTGTTTTTTGGATTTCCCAAAAAACGTAATGTCTGAATCAGTTAAGTTATGCGCATGTTGCTAAGTAAATAAATCATATTAGCCTTAATGTTAAATAATTTATAAAAAAAAATAAAATAAAATAATGAAAACGACTAAAATAGTTTCTTATAAGCAAAGTTCAAGGGCTAAAATAAAACATTTAAAAACTTGGGAACCAAAATGAAAGTTAAATGAGCAAAATAAGATTTAAATCTTCAACATTCTATTATTACATACCACATGGAAATAGAATTAATTACCTCTTTAATGAAGAAACAATGTCAACTGGAGATCCTGAGGCCACGCTTTCGTTCCATGCTTTATCCAGCTCAAGTGCAAGTTGATAACCATCCTGCAATAATCGGGGAAAAATTGGAAGGAAAACCACACGTTAACCCAGTTTTATTGCATTTGAAGTTCCTACTACAGCAGAAGAGTGACCGAGCAAGAAACTTCAATGAGCAGTGTCCAAGAAATAGAGGTTGGTAACCAATCATTTACGGTAACTAGAACTTTTCAGTAACAACCTTAATGTGGATCAAAGGATATAAAGAAATCGAGTCAAAAAATGAATACCTCAATAGCCATGCATCCCCCTTGACCCATATTTGGCTGCATAGCATGTACAGAATCCCCAAGCAAAGTTACACGGCCCTTTCCCCATGTGAAAATAGGTGTGCGATCATATATGTCACGTCGAAGAACGGCATCTTCATCAGTGGCATGTATCAGATCTATCACATTGTCACACCAACCTTCAAAAATTTTGAGTAGTCTTTCCTTTCTGCCTGCAGGAAGCCAATCAAATGTTATTCGAGAAAGCCTGCAGCAAAAGAAACTCGGGATAGTTCTCTCAAGTCGACGCAATTAGGATCGACCCATTCCTTCTAACAGTTATGCTGTTGCATAAGTTATCAAATGCTTTTAAAATGTAGTGGAAAGAACATATTATGGGAATATGTTCTCTCTTTCTTTTTTTCATCTTGTATTGCTGCCATCATTAGTTAGTTACAGAGCGGTAAGGACTCATGTAAATGGTGTGAGCCAGGGATCATGCATTGAGCGTCCGTCAGCTATAATGGGCAGGAATGCTTTATATTTAGGAGACGAAAAGGCTTAGTTTGAGAGTTAAGCATTCTGATGGAGAGAGAATTCTCAGGATTCTAGCTTGCTGATTGTCACCAGTGGAGGGCCTGAGTAGATGTAGACTATTTTTATCGAACTGCTATAATTTTGTGTTTACTCTTCCTCTTTATTGTTCTTCTTCGCTCCTCGATTAATGATCTTAATCCATTCGTTTGTATAGGTTTGTTAGGTTCGTTGGTTCTCTGGTGAAATGTTCTGGTTGTTCTACAACAGAACAACATACCATAATTTATCCTTTAAAAAGATTGACATAACAGAGCTACAACCAGAATCATACTCCTTTAACTGAACACATTAAACAATTGGAAGAGAACATTCGTCCATCTAGATACTTAATTAAGAATATTTTAGAAATTTTAGGATGTAGATATTTTCATACATATAATTTCAAGTAATAATTTAAGAAGAAAACTCTCTCTTTTGATTTTGTTTTATTTGCTTCTCTCTCCTAGAAGAGGCATTACTAATAATAGAAGGGTTAAACATACCACGAGGGGCATCAGTGCCACCAGGAGGTTCCTTATGAAAGGCATACCACTGCATCTTTCCCGCACCGACATCTGAGGAAACGAAGTATTGTTTGTGCCCCAAAAACACTCGGTACCTTCAGAATATAAATAAAAAGAAACCAGGTCTTAAAAAAAGAATACCGGAAAGTTGTCCAAGTGAGATAACTGCGATAGAATCCAAAATAATATTTTCCACTAAGCTAACTACTAATACGCCCTTAATATCCTAATAATATTTTTAAATATCCACATGTATTACCCAACAGTTTCAATGTCAGCTGGTATGAAGTCTGCGATACCAGTATAGCAGGTGTAGTCTGAATATACAGCTTCCGAGTGTCCAAACAAGTTCTGTCTGACCTGACATCATAAACCCTATAACATCAATATTCATTAATAAAACAGCTCAATGGGAACAACTTAAATCCAACCAAAAAATGTAGTAATATATGATAGTACCTTTGACCGAATACCATCTGCTCCGACCAAGAGATCACCCTCGTGACGCTGCCCATTTTCAAGAACCACACTAACCTAAAGGCAGATTACGAAGAAAGACAAGATGACATCATGTCAATGACAAAGAAACGGATGTGTCAGGTAACCATAGCCTTTTTCATGAAGCTATAAGCTGGATATTTTGCAAGAAAAAGAAAGAGAAACCATGACAGGATATTACCTTATCTCCATTATCCTCAAAGTCAACAACATTACTATCATTTATAATCACATCATCACCCACGGCACGAGCAAGAATTTGTTGTAATGCCATCCGGCTGATAACCCTTGTGACAGGAAGTCCTCGTTCCGCTGCAGGAGTGAATGTGTCAAACTTGATGTACCTGATACGAGTTACATATCCTTCATGTGACACAATTCGGATAATTGACATCTTAGATAATACATAGCTATAAGCCCAGCAGAGTCAATTTGAAAGGTAAATCCTTTCTCTCTCTCTCTTTTTTATGAGAAACAATATTTGTATAAATGAACAAAAGGAGAACAACCTGCATGGAGATGAGAGGTCCCCCAGAAAAAAACTAATGAAGAGTAGCCCTCCAATCACTTCTCTTAAATTTCATGTTTTGGAAGCTGGTCCTATACATTCCTTTTTGTTTGTTGGTTCATATTCCAAATTGACACAGCCTAACAAAAGTTTAACAAACCGTGAAATCACCAATGAACCCAAAAGCTTAAACTAATGAGTTGGGTAAATTTAATCTTTCATAGATATTTAACCTAAGCTAATGGATTGATCGGTGATTTTTTGCAAATTTCTAAGTCCACAAGTGAGGGAGAGTGTTAAGATTTCTCTAAAATGATTAAATTTACCCTAACCTATTAGCTTGATCTTGTGGGTTGATTGGTGATTCAACGAAAAGAAAATCCCAGAGACCCGGACAGTGAAAACCGCTGCAATAAACATGGATTGCAAAAATGCCTTCCGGTTAAGGTCTATCAAGAAAACGGTATGATTCAGAAAGAATCAAAGAAAGAAATGTACACTATTACCACATGCTCTGAAGTCTAAAGATTAATTAACCAACAACTTCAAGCACACAACAATTCTTAGACAGTGCAACATATCATTCATTCATTCAGTTAGCTCAACATGTCTTTTTCAGTCCCATCTCTCAGCTGTCGACATGATATTCTTAGCTAAATCCCAGATTTGGAAAGTGGGTCAACCATTTTTCCTTCTTCTGTTTTGGATGAAATGAAAGTGGGTCAACTTCGAATCTAAATCCATGAAGTTTCTTAGTCAAAAGATATACAAACTCAAACGCTATAATCATTTCCAGAAAGATCCAACGAAGATGAGGAGACCTCATCACAAGAAACCACGAGTAAAATTCTTAGCAACATACCAATTTCCAGAAACCCCATCAACGAGCCCGTTAATCCTATCACCAGTGATACAGCCAACTCTCATGACTTCCTCTGCAACATCCAAATCAATGGCTTCCAAAGCCGCCAACGCATTGCTCTGTATCTGAATCGGACCCCTGTACTGCCCCTCCCCTCTGATCGCACTTATATCCCTCTCGAAAACCACCACTTCAAACCCTTTCCTCTTCGCCGCCAGAGCAAAAACCAGACCCCCAATCCCTCCTCCGGCCACCAGTATCCGAACATTCCTAGTGGGAACGCTCCGGCCGATCTCTCCGGCCGCCCCTTCCTCCGGTGGCGCCTCCGCCACGGCGGCTCTCACCTGGGTCACTCTCTTCCTCCGCCACCCACACGCCGCTTTACAGGTACCGCGCTGACAAGGCGAAATCTCAACAAGGTACTCACGAAAAGCCGGAACGGGGAAGCAGGTTCTTGACAAGCCAGAAGAGGAAAGATTAAAGGGGTTGTAAATGGTAGTCAAAGCCATGGTGGGTCAGTGACTGAAGCCACTCCTCGCTATGTTTCCGATGAAAATTTGCAGAGAAAACCGAAGTAGGAAGGAATTAGGAAGAAATGGAGAATTTGGGTGGGTTTTTTAGGCTTGTGGCGACGACATTCTTCGGGAGTGGTGGAGAATGGACAGCCATGTGGCAATTCCTGGACAAATTTCACCGAATTTTGGGAGTTTTGTCCACCGGTGGAAGCAAAAATCTTTGTTAGTGGTTCGCATTTTAGTACACCATTATTATCTATAATTTTTCTTTGTGTGCTCACCGAAAGTTGTAGCTGTCCACAGCCCACACTACCGTCCACTTCCACTGAAATACATGAAAATAAACATAGTTTTTTTTTAAAGAAAATTCAAATAATAACTGTAAGTGTCCAAACAGTTTGCCTGCTTAATAATCAGTTTCAATCTCATCCCAAATATTTTAAAATTTTTTAATCTAAAACTAATTTGTTAATTCATAAGCCATTTTAACTGAAATTGATAATGTTTCCGTTTCTCTTTTTTATTTCTAATTTTGTATTTTACAACTAATCATGCTTCTTTTTCTCATTTATTTGGAAACATTCCCAATAAAAGGAAACAAGAAACTAGACTTATTTTGATTGTTTCTAAACTTTTAACTTTAAAAACAGTCCAAATAAGTTGATTTCTTGTTTTCATTTATAATTTGTTACCAAACATGAATATAAATAGTATCTTTGAATAAACAAAAACAATCAAAATTAGTCTGGTTTCTTGTTTCCGTTTATAATTTATTACCAAACATAAATATAAATAGTGTCTTTGAATTAACTTTCTAAGTAATTTTGGAGGTCCAAAAGTATTATATTTTTAAACGGTAAAAGTTTGAAACAAATAAAAAAAATCATAATCGTTTTAAGAGTGAGTTTAGCATCCTTCTAATTTAATCACCTTTTTAAACAAATATATTTTCTAAACACTTTTTATAAAAATATTTTGTAACATACTTGCATGTTTGGTTAACATTTTCCTAAAAAGTGATTCTAATCACTAGCTCACTATCTACAAAGGATAGACTACCATATAGTGATTTCCGGCGAATTACTTTACACTAATCCCTATATCTAAATTTTTCGGCTGTCAATCAATTTTGATTATTTTGAAAGTGATTTTACTTCATTTATGACTCAATACTCGATAAAGCATAAACGTAAGACCTTAGTGAAAGGGTTAAGTCTATGGTAAAGGATTCCTTTAAGGAAAGATGCTAATGTTTAACATAAGTCGGTTTCATTATCGTAGATATAAAATCTCGACCTAGATTGTGTACTTTTGTTTTCTTTGAAAATCTCATGTAAATAGAAATGCAAATGGTGTGGTCCATGCCTTTTCTATATTTATTAGTGTAGTTGGTTCTAAGTCTCTATAATTTACCTCATTTAGATAGAGTTTTTTTACAAGGGAAATTGTCATTTTTAAGGGATTTCAAAAAACAAAACAATTCCGGTCGTTATTTAAGGAATGCCTTTTTAAATCCGACAAATAATTTCCTGCCAATATATTACCTGAAATTGCTAATATACTAGTTGGAATCTTTTTTTTAAACCGAGATTTTCTTAAACTTATTATTATTATTATTATTATTATTATTATTTGATAAATCTTTGTCATTTAAATATGATATTTATCCATTTAAACATAAATTTGTAAGGATTCTGATTTAAATGTATTGATAAATTCAATTTGCAATTTGTCGTGATATTTTTCTACTTTATTTTGAGTTGTTTAGTGTAAAATTGAAATTCATGATCAGTCTCTATTAACAAGATTTGGAGTGTTTTTCAATTTAGTCTCGTGTGTATTAATTTCTTTCAACTTTTGTTAGTACAACATGTAGGAGTGGAGATTCGAACTCACGACCTTTTAGGTAGATATAAGTGCCTTAACATGTTAAACTATGCTCTGGTTTGCAACACTTTTCCGTTATATTTTCACCGTTTGGTAAATATTAAATTGGATAATGATAGCTTACTTGAAATGATGTGTATACCGAATTGAGAAAAAGATATTGAAAAGGAATTAGGTTAGCTAGAAAAGAAAAGTTTCTAGATATTCGTCCAAATTTTTTATAAGTTAACAAAAAAATTTCATTTTTTATTCTATGAAGTGACCTAAATTCTCCTTTAATCTTTTGCTCCACTCTTGACAACATTATACCTAGTTGGTGTAAAATGAACAGATCCCATTCTTAGTGAGAAAATGAATAATTTAGGGTGAAAGGTTTTTTACAAAAATGTTTGATATAGGATTTGGATTAGTGATATAACGTCAAAAGCTTCCACGAACACTTACACAAATGAGAAATTTGTACACCAGTGTGGTGCTAAACCTAATACACTCTAATATTTAATTCAGGATTCAGTTGAGAGTAGCAAAGAGTAGGATTATGTAAAATGTCTCTTGCATATGAGATATCTCCTCCTATATTTATAAAGTAAGACGCTACAAGTTAGTTTGGCTCTATTGTTTTGACAGGGTCAGGGCGAATCAGTCTGGTATGATCACCTCGATCCGACGTGGTTAAAGAGTTCTCACTCAAAATTACAACAAAATTGACAAGAGAGTGTGCAGAACTAATGCATTTCTTGCTAAAATCACATACCAAAATTGGTATGACATTGGCTACACGAAAATCACAAAAGAGGAAGGAATATAGGTCTAAGGGCTAAAATACAAGCAGAAAGCTTATATATTCCTAAAATACAATCATTTTTTGAAGAATCAAACATAGAATAATGTTTTTAGAAAAATATATATGTTTTTTAATTTATAATAAATCATTTTAACTTTTAATTTAATTAATTCTTTTTATAAAATATGTTTAATTAAGTTTATATCGTSGACCATATTTGTTTTAATAAATTTAATTCATAACTTTAAACTTAGATAAACATCATAATTAGGGATGACAAAACAACCTGTGAGACTTGATGCTCATGGGTATCCAACCTAGTCAGGTTGGGGATATCCAGTTTGATCAGGGACAGGATTAAACCGGAGATCTTAATCGGGTCTACAGTGGAGATGGACCGTGGATAGGGAGGTCTCCCCACCCTGTTTAATATTTTAGTAATTTTATTTTTATATACAATAATATATATTACTTTTTATAAATACTTTTCTAGATTTTTTTTGAAAGCCAAGTCCAATAGCGTGTTTAGCCCCTTTTTGTTCTTATCTAAGTAAGAATAATTGTAAGCCCAATATTTATGTAAATATATTTATTTAAAAACTATTTTATAATCTTTAAAAACGATAATGGTAAGATACGTATCACTATTATGTTCACCTGTCACTCAACCATTGTTAAAGTTATAAAATAAATAATCTTCAAAAATGATATTGAAAAAGTAAGTGAATTTATACTTACACACCATATTTTAATCATTTAAAAATTTTATATTTATTTAATTTATTAGAAAAAAACAATTAAAAAAAACTAAATTGACTATAAATGTTGAAGAAAGTGAGTGGAAGAAAAAAGGTAGGTTATTGAAAGACTATAAACTTTTGTTATATGAAATAACTCCATTTAAGATAGTATCCATTATCAATTTATCATTATATCCTTTTACGTTTTTACACCTAAATATTAATTATTTTTTGAAATTCAAAATGGTTATTTGGAATGTTACATTTTAAATCCCTTATTTTATGCCTAATTAGATTTTACAAAAATAAAAATTACCAAATCCCCAAAATGCTACCCAAATCTCCAATGACGCATGTGCTAGGGTGTCTAAATAGAATAGGTTAATGTTATATGCGGATATAATATATATCTACACTGTATAAGTTTATATGAGATTGAGACTTCAATAATTAAAGATTATATCTGGATATATTTTATATCTATTATTAAATACCAAATTGCAAGATACAATCCAATTCTATTGCTTTATGTTGCTGCTGAAAACTTTTGATGTTATACTTCATAATATCATTAAATCGCTGGTAAATCGTGACTATAATTTAGGGATTTAAATCTTTTAGATTTAAAAAAAATTAATAAAAATAAATATAAATACAATAAATAAGAGTAAATCAATATTATAAAAAAATCCTACGTTCAGAAATTTAAAAGTATAAAATTGAAAAAATTTAAACATTTGAGAAAATAAGGTTTAGTTTTTAAAACCGTCCATTAACTCAAAAAGAAAGCTAAGTTGGAAACTTTTCTATTTCAATTTTGACCAATAATATTGGGCTCATCTCCAAGCCCACATAATACACCATTAATAATAATAATATATTTTAAGGAATAAAAAAAATCCTAAATTAAGTCTTAATTTCTCATGCTTCGCTCTGCAAAGTCTTCATCCTCTCTATGTTCTCACTTCAGCAGAAAACCTAAAATTAGATATTTTAAAAACAAAGTTATGCTTCTCTTTTCTCCTCATTAAAATTTCTCTACTTCATTCTAAATTCTAGAACAATTTTATTGAGAAAGGGTGAGAGGAGGAGATTAGAAGAAGGAAAACTGGTAGCTATGACGATGGACAGAGACAAATGAAGCCAATACAATTTGAGATGGACCATCGATCGACTTTAGATTCTGATGTCAAACCAAGATCGTTATCTTCCGCGCCTAATTCTAGTAAAAAAATTGCGAAAAAGTGGAAACTTTTACTTGTTTAATTCTGATTTTTGGAGGCTTTCCGTTGAATTTAATCTCCATGTGAATCGTTTGGGGTGACAGGATTCATCTGCAGTAGGGAGTCTAATGTATGCTCAAGTATGTACGCGTCTGGATATTGCGTATACTGTTGGGATGTTAAGCAGATACTTGAGTAACCGGGGTATGGATCATTGGAAAGTAGCAAAATGGGTTATGAGGTATTTGCAAAAGACAAAAGATTACATGCTCATATATAAGAGATCGGATCAGTTAGAGATCATTGGGTATTCCGACTTTGATTATGCTGGATGCCAAGACAGTAGGAGATCCACTTCAGGCTATATTTATCTATTGGCTGGTGGAGCTATATCTTGGAGGAGTGCCAAACTAACGCTCATAACTTCTTCCACAATGGCAACAGAATTTGTAGCATGTTATGAGGCATCCAATCATCAAATATGGCTACAAAATTTTGTCACCGGATTGCAAATTTTTAAAAGGTGTTGAAAGACCACTCAAAATTTATTGTGACAATAAGTCAGCTGTTCGTTATTCCAATAACAATAGAAGTTCATCTAAGTCTAAACATATAGACATTAAATTTCTAGTTGTGAAGTAAATAGTGCAGAGAGGACATATATTCATAGAGCACATTGGAACAAACTCCATGATAGCAGATTCGCTTACAAAGGGATTACCACCAAAGTCTTTCATGAGCATACTACTCATATGGATGTTATTTTGCACGAGGATATTATGTTTTAGTGGGAGTTTACATTTGCTCTATGTTTTATTTGGACACATATATATTATGTATTTTGGATAATTATTCTGATTAGAAATATGAAAACTAAGTTTATTTTATCTACTTTGCCTCATTAGGTTAAAGATTTTGATCTCGCTAAAGTAAGGAATGACCAGTTGGAAATAGACATGTACAGATCACATTTCATGTAATTTACATACGTGCATCAATGGTTTGATCTATGTCATTTAGTTATATTAGTATTTGTGACCACTAATGGGTTTAGTTGCGTTTAATTGTAGTGAAAACCTCTTTGATCCTTATTGATGTAACTAATGGACCAGATTGATTAAGTTTACTCCTTTTTTGTTTAATAGCAATTTTGGGAGCTCATAAGGTCAAACACATTTGTTAGGTTACATATCTGGCCCAGTGGGAGATTGTTAGAATTTCTAATGATATGGGGCCACACAGGTAAACGTTTGATGTGTTCTTTTGCTATTTATTTAGACAAAGAGAAGCGATCTTGTGTAAGTTTGTTTTATGGAGTAATTATAAAATGACTATGGGAAAATTGTATAGATACCATAAAATAATTTCCAATTTGATGAAGGGCCAAATTGGAAATATAAAAACCATGTAACCGATCCGTGTTTTCATTTTGATCAGTTACATAGAGGTTATGGTCCCCAAGTTAGATAACGTTTCACAATATTCTCTCTATCCCTTAAGAGAGAAACGACTCTCTACTTCTTCTATTTAATAGAGAAGAGATTTGAGAACATAATAAGTTAAATTGTGGGTTATCTTTAACTTGGAAGATCAAATCCCATAAATTTGCTTTCACCATGGATTCAAGTACGCTTCCGCTCATTTTTGTTTAACTCTCTTGAATCAACATGGAAAATAGACCTATGGTCTTTTAAGTTATGTATTTTATTTTCCCTACACTTAGTAGCTATTTGGCATTGTGTATATTGGGATCTATAAATATTTTGTGATGAATGTACAGAAAAACCTTCTTTGGATCATACCTACTGCACCGGTGGTTGGTAAAGAAATACACATGATTTGAATCCCCTAAAAATGAGGGAGATACTCGCTCCTCAACTTATGTGTTTATTTCTCAGTATTTATTCAAATTATCTCTATTATTTATAATTCTCCTACCACATTCGAAAGCGATATTTTATGCTGGTTGTTTTAGTACACTATATAAAAATAATGATTCAAACTCATGACTTTTTAGTCAAAAATACATACCTTAATTTATTCAACTATATTTTGATTGCTTATTTTATTCTGTTTTTTTTTTCCTTAAATATTTTATTTTGATGTTAGTTTCCTCAAAAACACGATTTCAAGAAGTGCAGACAAGGCGCGGCAAATTAGCCTAATATTATTATTCCCTTTCGACAAATTTAAAAAGCAATGGGACGGCGCCGTCTCGAAGACGGGAATTTGGGCAAACTGCTGACGTCAACATTAACATAAAATCAAAAGTATTTTCAAAGTAAATTTGAATATATTGTTATTTTTATTTTTAGCTCATTTATTTTTACCATAATTATAATATTCATTAAATTTCTTTAAATATAGTTATAAATTTATATGAAAAAGATTTATTGGGTATACAATTAGTATTAAAATTTTGAAAAAAATGATCAAATTAGCCCTTTTAAAAAGTATAGGAACCCTAACCGATATTTTAAAAGTATAGGAATCAAAATGAATGTTTTGAAGGCCTAAATAAATAAAACTAAAAAATATAATGACCCAAATAATATTTACCTTATATTTATGTATCAAACATTGTCTCGATTTTTCATCTTGAGTTATATGAACTAAAGTTATCTTTAAATATTAGTAGAATTTATAATTGTCAACTTAGCACAACACAACTGATTCAGACATCTATTTCTAATTAAAATGTCGTGAGTTCAAATATTTATCCTCACTTGTACTTGAAAAAAAGTAGAAGTTTATAATTGAATCACAAATATGACTAGCAAATAATGTATATAACGCTTCATCTTGTAGTATCAATAAATTTACAAAAAGGCCAAAGAATAGCTACAAAAATTTTGTTTAACCTTTATATGTTATATTATAAGGAAAAATACATTTTTTGTTCCTGAGATTTAAAGTATGGGTGTATATTTGGTCCTTGAAATTTCAAAATGTACGTTTCTTTGTTCTTCAAGTTTGGAGTAGGTATCCATTTTGTCCAAGAAGTTTCAAAACACATACTTTCACTTCTTGAAGTTTGAAAAATTGTTTTAAATGGTCATTTGACCGTTAGTTGACCATTTGTGATTTGCTCCCTCTCTTCCATCTCCGACCAATGTTATTTGACCATTTGTTGCGCTTTCCCTATTGTCGTTGCCATTTGTCATCGTGTTGTTCTGTCGTTCGCACCTTTGAGAGGACAAAGAGACCCTCCCTCCTTCGTTTCAGAGAAGGAGACCTCCCTCTCTCATTCTAAATCTAGAACAAAAAGAACAGAAAGACACCTCCCCTTCAAATCTTCAAGGATAAAAAATGTTCATTTTAAAACTTCATATTAGACATCGATTTGCATCCTTTCTATCCTTTCAAAAGATAATTGCACAGGGAAAAGGACATTGATGGTTTTTTTTTATTAGGTTGGAACTTTATAAGGGCTGGAGTCCAACCAATTCCACTCATATTATTATTCTGAATAACTTTCTCAAGAAAGCAACATCACTGTATACTTTATAAAAATGACATTTTATAAAGATTACAAATACAGTTTAAACTATAAAGTCAAAAAAAAAGAAAAGAAAAGAAACATCTGTATGTTTTCAGAAACTTCAATTTAGTCAAATTCTGTTAAAAAATTTACTTTTTGATAGATTTTGTTTTTCTTTTCCAGAATGGTAAAAAATAGCATTAGCATATGAGTTAAATGAATAAAAGACATATTTTGTTGGGATTGATAAGATTCAAATAAAAACGACAATGAAGCTAAGTTTAAGTTATGCGTCTTCAATCAAATTTAGTTTTGTGCAATATTTTAATTTTTTTTAGGTTATTTTTTCTTTGATTGGATGGATAACTTTGTTGRAGATGGCGGAGGAAAAATACATATTTACAAAGTAAAAAAGTAAAAAATATTTTATTATTGCTTTTTTTTTGGTTTCAATAAAAAACAGTTTAATTTGTTTTGATTAATTATTTGAACATTACTATATTAATTGTTTAACATTTTAATTAATTAATTCGTTTTCTTTTGTAACGTTTTGTTTAATTAATTCAGTTAAAATATTTTTATTTTTCCTTATTAAAACAAAATTGAGTTTTCTACTTCGAGGGCGAAAAGATTAAAAAAATCCTTGTATCAAAATTTTCTAAGAATGTTATTTGATTCGATTCGATTGCGACGAGTGTACGTTTGAGTACGAAGTTATGTTAATCTTGAAAAACAACTTACGTACATACGATTTAACACTATAGTTGCATCAAAATTACTTTCAAAACAATAGTCCATCTATGACACAATAATAATTTTCAGCTAAATTCTCAAACTTAACGGGGTAAAAATTGTCGCACTATCTAAATTTAAGATTAAAAAAAAATCGATAAAATTGAAATTGAAAAAAATATAAAATGCTACTTGAAAAAGTTTAATTTAATCTTACATTTGAAGTTTCCTACTTTATGGGGTGGGTCAGCGGTCAACGAATATCTGTCTGTGCTATTTTTATTATTATTTATTTTGGCGGTTTCATATAATTTACAAGAACAAGGAAAATTTCCACACGCGCGGTAATGACAATTGGCATTGACAAGACCTTTGAAAAGTTGAGACCTGCCATTCCCGAAACCCTAGAAGAAGGGCGCTTCTTCTTCTCCCCATTGATCTTCGTACATTCCCCTCGAAGCTGCAATTTCTTGTCCCCTCTCGTCTGGAATTCCATGCCCATCGAATCGAATCGGAAACGATCGAACTCTGTTCTGTTCGTGGCCGCGATTCATCTCTATTTCGCTGTTATCGAGATCCGGAGGAGTTAGAGGAGGCCTGAGAGAACAGAACGTTCTTTTTTGTCGAGTAAGATTTCGGCGTTTCGTTATTTCGATCGATTGAGAGCTTTGTTTTGTTTTTTTTTTGTTTTTTTCCATTTTTCTCTGGTTTTATGTGGTTTGTATGTTCGTGGTTGCTGTTTTATGTTACACGAATTTGTGATTTCTGCAGAGGTATATAGATGCGGTTTTATGTGATTTGAGGAGAAGGAAGAAGAGAGAGGGTTTGATCTGAACCAGCTACTCTGTTGTTTGCGGGTTTATTTCAATGGGAAAGCCAACGGGGAAGAAGAAGGAAAATGTGGCGGAGAAGCCTGGAAATGCAAATCCTAAGCTTGCCCGATCGTCTGACCGGAACTCGAAGGCGTTTGATGAAGACACTGCCATCTTCATAAACATGTCCCAAGAGCTGAAGGAGGAAGGCAACCGTCTGTTCCAGAAGCGCGATCACGAAGGCGCCATGTTAAAGTACGAGAAAGCTCTGAAGCTTTTGCCGAGAAGTCACATTGATGTTGCTCATCTCCACAGCAACATGGCCGCCTGTTATATGCAGTTGGGGCTGGGCGAATATCCGCGGGCGATTAATGAGTGCAATTTAGCGTTGGAGGCTCACCCGAGATACAGCAAGGCGCTGCTGAAGAGAGCAAGGTGTTATGAGGCTTTGAGTCGGTTCGATTTGGCGTTGAGAGATGTGAATACTGTTTTGAGCTTGGAGGCGAACAATCTCTCTGCTTTGGAGATTTTGGAAAGTATCAAAAATACGATGAGAGAAAAGGGTATTGATTTCGATGAGAAAGAAATCGGTTTGGCCAGTGTAAAGCTGCCTCCTGCAGCACGTCTGCGAAAGGTAGTTAAAGAGAAATTAAGGAAGAAGAAGAATAAGAAAGTTGAGGAAAAGGCAGATGATAAGTTGGTTGTGGAGGAGAAGGTGGATCAGGTGGCCCAGGCTGATCAGGTTGAAGATAAGGAAGTTACAAAAGTTACTATTGAGGAAGATAAATTGTCTGTTCAACCAGTCGAGGAAAAACCAGTCTCAAAGACGGTGAAGTTAGTTTTTGGAGATGACATAAGATGGGCGCAGTTACCTACAAATTGCAGTATGAAATTGGTACGTGAGATAGTTCGAGACAGATTTCCAAGCTTGAAGGGTGTTCTTGTGAAGTACAGAGATCAAGAGGGCGATTTGGTTACGATTACTACGACGGAGGAGTTGAGGTCGGTTGAAGCATCTGGTCAGTTACAGGGTTCTCTTAGATTGTACATCACAGAAGTCAGTCCTGATCAGGAACCTGTCTACAAGGATATCGAGAACCTGGAGGTGATACCGGAGGTAGATAAAGAAAGGAGTAATGCCGTGGTGAATGGAGATACAGAAAAAGATAAGGAGTCTGTAAAGGGTACAACTTTGGTCGAGGATTGGATCGTCCAGTTTGCACGGTTGTTCAAGAACCATGTTGGGGTTGATTCTGATTCGTACTTGGATCTTCATGAGCTTGGAATGAAGCTGTACTCAGAAGCAATGGAGGACTCCGTAACAGGTGATAGTGCACAAGAAATTTTCAAAATTGCTGCTGACAAGTTTCAAGAAATGGCGGCTCTAGCATTTTTCAACTGGGGAAATGTTCACATGTCCAGGGCAAGGAAGCAGGTTTTCTTTCCAGAAGATGGTTCGAGAGAAACGTTACTTCTTCGGATTAAGGATGCTTATGAGTGGGCACGAAAAGAATACAAAAAGGCTGAAATGAGATACGAAGAAGCTCTAAATGTGAAGTCTGACTTCTATGAAGGTTACCTTGCACTTGGGCAGCAGCAGTTTGAGCAAGCTAAGCTTTGCTGGTATTATGCAGTTGCGAGCAGAACCAAAATCGATTTGGATTCAAACTTTTCTGCGGAGGTCTTGCAACTTTATAACAAGGCTGAGGACAGCATGGAGAAGGGCATGCTGATGTGGGAAGAAATGGAGGAGCAGCGCCTGAATGGACTCTCCAAAAGTGAAAAATACAGATCTGAGTTGCAAAAAATGGGATTGGAAAGACTATTTAGTGAGATACCTGCTGATGAAGCTGAAGAGCTGGCTACAAACATGAGATCACAGATATATCTCTTATGGGGCACCTTACTGTACGAGCGTTCGGTGGTGGAATACAAGATTGAACTACCTACTTGGGAGGAATGTTTGGAGGTGGCGGTAGAGAAGTTTGAACTTGCTGGTGCTTCCCAAACAGATATTGCAGTTATGATAAAGAACCATTGTTCCAATGATACTGCACTGGAAGGTAAAGGACAATTACGCCTCAAAGTTTCTTGTTTAGTATGATATTGTCGAACTTATCTTCAATCTTTTTTGTGTTATTAATGGAATATCCTGATTCTTGACCATTTTGCATTTTCAGGTTTCGGTTTCAAAATCGATGAGATTGTGCAGGCATGGAACGAAATGTATGATGCTAAAAGGTGGGAGTTTGGGGTTCCATCTTTCCGCCTTGAGCCTTTGTTTCGACGTCGGGCTCCTAAACTTCACTTCACTTTGGAGCATTTTTGAGAGTTTTGTTGATGATTGGGCATTCTGTAGAGGCATTTAAGGAATCTATCAGTTTTCTTTGCATCAATTTTCAGGTGTTCTGCTTCCCATATAGACAAAAGGTAAAGAAGCCTTTAGCTTTACTCCTTGATAGTACAGCATGCTCTTCACTTATTCCGACCGATACATAGAACTTTTATTTTGATTTGATAGATGTGAATTAATAACATCAAATTCTAAAGAACAACCGTAGTTTAATTAATCCACACTTATTTCTATGAATGTATTTAATGAAGAAACATTAGAAACTTCACTCCTTTCACCTCCTTCAGGGGAGAGTTCTTATCCTATTTCCATGATCTTTTTTCTCAGAAACAGAAAGTAGGGATAAGCTTTTGGGATACCCTTTTCATTTATAATGCTCATAGAGACTCTTGTTTATAAGTAGATATAATTATCAATCGATAGCGGGGACTCTCTCGTGACTTCTAGTAAATATTTCGTGTTTTCACTCCCTCATTTGAAATCCTCAGTACAATTTGTGATTATACTTCCTCGATTTGTCTTACCAATTATGTAATCATTGATTTCAGAATGTATACTACTTTGTCTTGAATTATAAGTTATGACTTGCACAAAGTTTTTAATATCAGGTTCTTTCTGTGGTTGCAGATGTTTCAATACCAGCCGCTATCTTAATTCGTCGTTTGGCCTGAGTGTAAGTTTGTTTATAGTATTATTCTTTTGAGAAGATTGAAGATTCAGCAACAAAGATAATAGCTATAGATTGATATTGATTCATTATTCATCATTGATTTGATAGGGTGGAGGAAGAAATTTTTAATTTTTAATTTGATTTTCGATATTGAATAGAGAATTTGTGTTTGTGAAATTTCAAGAGCAGATTGTTCATGTTGTTATACAGATTGTCAACTTTGATTGTTTTGGAGTTTGAAGATTGATGGAAAGAATTATACAGTAAAAGCAAATTATTGTTGTTATATTTCCTCTATCAAACTTCTTTTTATGGTTTTTAGTTTCTATTGACAGTTGATAAACAAACTTCATCCAAATTTTTCATTCTTTGTTTCTCAAAGATTTTTTAATGGTTAAAGTGCAAGTTTACGTGTAATACATCTCTAAATTTTAAAAAATGTTTGGGATATATTTTTAATTTTGTGTTTAATAAATTCTTGATTTATTCGATCTTTTTTAAAATTCTCTAATTTATTAGAAACAACAAAATTGAAAACTAGGGACAATAGACAAACTAAACCTGTAATTTAACATTTTATAAATTAATGAAATGTTTTAAAACAAATAAATGCACCTTATCAAACTTGCAATTTTTTTTTATTACAACATGCGGGGTGGGAGATCGAATTTACAATCTTAGAGATATATGTTAATTATCGCTGAGTTTTGTTTTGGCTAAACTTACAAAATTATATATATGTAAATTTGTGATTATCTTACAAAAAATCAAAACATATGAAGACTAAATATCCTTAAACCTAATTTATGAAAAATACTTCAGTACCCATCTTCTATTAAGCAACAATAACCATTTGATAGTCTTTAGCTTTTTAAAAATATAAAAAAATATATTTTTTTTCTTGCATTTCTCTCTCTCTTTTTGTATGAATAATTTAATGATAGTAACAAATTTTGTTGTGCGGTTGCATAAGCATATTCCATTCAGAAGAAATTAGGTTAGCTAAGAAACAAAAAATTTCTGATCAAAGAAACAAAAAAGAACAGAACAAAACAAAAAGTTAAATATTCTTAATTCAAATTCTTTAAAAGTTAACCGAAATTTCACTTTTTATTAGTGACCTTAATTTCTAGTTTCATTTATGACTATGCTATGATAATATTATACACTCGTGTAAGATGAATAGATCTAATCCATAGCAAGTAATGAATCTATGATGAAAAGTTATATCAAGGGAAATGTTGATACAAGATTTGGATCGGGGTGCATAATGTTAGAAGTTCAAAGGAATATTTGCACACATAAAAAATTTGTATACTGATGTGGTGGTAGGTCCAACACACCTCGATATTTAAGTTAGACAAAGAGTTCATTTAAGAATAGCGAAGAGTAGGATAGTGAGATATACCTCGTGCATGAGATTTCTCTTTCAATTTATGAATGAAATCTCTTAGGTTGACCAAGCAGTTTGATCCACATCAATTCTTTTGCCTCACTTTAGGTGTATTTAACACGATAATTTCATTTGTATAACAATTAAAAAAATACATAACAAGCACACAGCTCATTGAAAAAAAATATATATAATTAATTAATTTAAAATCATTTAAGAGGTTTATAGAATATAAAAAATATGAAATAATTACTTCTGTTCTTTTTATGGATAAAGAAATAACCAGAAATAAGAAATAAGAGATAATTATACACATATTTATTTTTCTTTCTAAATTAAAAAATAGAAGAAATAGTAATTGAAATGTTATTCATTGGACTTATATTTTAATGTTTTTTTTTGAAAGACCTATTCACAATAAAAAGGTGTACTATATATTATATATTTCTGTAACTTACTCAATTATATTAACAATAAAAATATCTTAAGCACGTGATGAACAACTTAATAATCAGGTTACACAACCAAAAAAGAAATTGGCATTCCACCATGGAATATTTTCGTCTCTGAAGTAGTATTTTCGTCGTGGGTAGAAATCAACGACGAGAAGGGAACCGATACAGGATTTGTTGCTGAAGCGATGTCGCTATTGGTCTCCAACGACCAAAAAGCACGCGTCGCAACGTTTGGTGACGAATTGAAATTTTGTCCCTTGGTGACGAAATCAATATTTTGTTGTTGGTCTCCTATTGCGATGAATTGTTTTTATCGCTAACAAATTTTTTTTTCATACATGAAAAGTTAGCCACTTTTTATTCTTAGTGTGACTTTATGCACGTTAAATATAATGACACTTTTATTATTTCGTCACTAGCAAATAAAATCTGAACTTTTTATCAACTCTACAATATTACTTGTTTTCCGTAATTTTAAAAAAATATAATGAAGGATAATAGAAGTGAAATAAAATCACATTAAACTTCAAAATTAAATATAATGTATACAATGTCACAACATAAACAAGAAATGTACATATAAGACCATAAGAAAAATGTCCATTATATAGATGAAGTAATTACATATTTTTATCAGATCTTCAAGCATCACGATCAGAGCAGACATTATATCATATGTTTTCATTCATGCACAAATAATTGCATGTCATCAACTTTATTAGCAAACTAAAAATACAATCCTTGGCAAAAAAACACTAACAATAGAAGTACTGACTTTAATATTCAAAGTTCCAACAACATAATTATTAGTATTTAATTGTTAAATCTCCAACATCAAATTTAAACAAACAAAGCAAGGGTTTTGAAGCATAATATATTCAAAATTTCAACAACAACATATAATTCAATGCAACAATAAACTTAAACAAACTCAACATCCAAATGTTTGAAACTCTAACACAGTCATTGAACAATTCAATCTCTAACAATAAACTTAAACAAACTCAACATTTAACATTCAAATGTTTGAAGCTCCAACACAGTCATTCAACAATTCAATCTCCAACGATAAACTTTACATTCACAACAAAGTTAATGCACTGTGTCCACACACTCTATCCCTCAAACTACAACATCTCTGCTATTATCATGAATTATCTTGAATTGAAACAAATTTATATATTATATGGTAGAACATCTCTGCTATTATCATGAATTATCTTGAATTGAAACAAATTTATATATTATATGGTAGGAGATGTGACAAATATTTGTTGAAAAAAACTTAAGCCCAAGAGTTTATTAAGATACCCAATAGATTGTGAGTTTAATCCTCATCTTTATAAAAAAAACTTATTCTCCCTATACGAGAGTGCTCTCTTCTCATGGGAGYGTGGGGAGGTTTATGCTTTGATTTCAGGGGAAGGAGTCTTGTCTGACTTTCAATGGATGAGATCACGGACCTCTGGGAACATTTTAAATCGACGAACGATGAAAATGAGACTGTCACTATTGATAGAGGAAAGCCGATTTTGACAGCTGACAATGTGAAGCTTTGTGTGGTGGCGAAACTTCATACAAGCAAAAGGATTAGTGCCGAGGCAATTCGATCTGTGATGAAATCGGTGTGGAGGGTTCACAATTCCACAAGATTTGAACCTTTGGGAATGAATATTTATGTCATTCTTTTCAAATCTCTGTCTGAAAAGAGCAGGGTTCTAAGTTCGGGTCCTTGGACCTTTAATAAATCGTTACTGGTTCTCACCTCGCCTACAGCAACAAACCAACCGTTGGACATGAATTTCAACTTCTGTGCCTTTTGGATCCAGATCCATAATATTCCTTTTGAATGTATCTCAACGGAAATGGCTAACATTCTTGGAGCAAAGCTAGGAGACGTCGAGGAAATTGAAGGGGATGGAGCTGATGGTTGGGCAGGACCTTTCATTCGAGTTAGAGTGAAAATTGACGTATCGAAGCCATTGCGACGTGGAATAAAGCTTAAGAATAGTGACGGCAAGGATATATGGTGCCCCCTTCGATATGAAAAGCTTCCAGATTTCTGTTATGAGTGTGGTAAGATTGGCCATTCTGGGCGGGAGTGTGAACAGCGATCAAAGGTTGTTACAACCAATTCTCCGGAACAATATGGGGATTGGCTGCGGGCCACCTTACTGAAAAAGAGTGTTTCTCATCCTGAGGAGGAGGTGTTTTGGAGAGGAGGGCGTTTTGGTAGAGGACACCAAGTTAACGGAGGTCGTGGCGGACGTGGAGATTGGCGCCGGCGTGATGAGAACTGGAGAGATATTGACGGGCCGGAGTCCAGCCACCGGCGAGCGGTGGAGGAAGGTGTAGATCGGGTGCCGAATGAGGAAAGTGTAACAGCAGCGGAAATCACGCTAAGGCAGGCGAAGATCACGTCACAGCATTTAGTTGAGCAATCAATTCTGAATGATGGCCAAGCCGTTAGAATCTGATTTGATTGAAATTGCTGAATTTAAGGCCACGAAGAACTGCCAGGAAACTAATGAGGAGCTAATGGATTTTGAATTTAATGTTACGTTGGATAAAAATCTGAGGGCTAAAGGTCATGCTTTCACTCCAAATTCTTTTGGGCCTCAAGACAACATAAGGCCCACACAGACTTTTGGAAAAGGACCTAGTCAAGGATGGAAGAGAAAATCCGGAGAAGTACATCTGAGCGGTGAAGGACCGACCAAGTCCGTATTGACCCTGGGGAAAAGGAAGGAGATTACTGCTGAGGTGGTTTTGATCACTCATAATAGTCAGATTAAAAAACAGAAGCAACTGAAGACTGGAGATGGAGGTGATTTGGGCCCTGTATTGGGCGAGACAATTAATAGTTTGGCGGAGGCTGATTCTCAGCCCCGCCATCCACAATGATAGGCCTGTTTTGGAATGTTCGGGGTGGGGTCCCCCTCCACATTCCAGAGTCTGTACGACCTGGTACATGAGAAAAAACCCCTTTTTTTTTGTTTCTTTTTGAGACGAAGCAAAAAAGAATAAACTGAACGATATTAAGATTCGGCTTGGTTTCCAAAATTGCTTAGCGGTAGATTGCAGGGGCAGAAGCGGTGGTATTGTGTTACTGTGGCAAGATGAGATGATTTTTAATCTCCTCTCCTTCTCGCAGAATCATATTGACGGCTGGGTGAATCTTGATGGTAAACGTTGGCGCCTTTCGGGGTTCTATGGCTACCCGGAGAAGGAGAATAGAGGTCGGTCCTGGGATCTTCTGAGATGGCTGCAAGGTAGTGACTCTACACCTTGGCTTATTGGGGGTGATTTCAATGGCATTCTAAGGCATCATGAGAAAAAGGGAGGGAGAAGAAAGGAGGAGAAACTGATCAATGAGTTCAGTACAGCGGTGGATGACTGTAACCTCATGGATATGGGTTTCTTTGGAGATACTTTTACTTGGTGCAACCGTCGTCCGAATGGTCAAACAATTTTTATGAAAGGCTGGACAGAATTTTTTGTAATCCAATGTGGGCGGAGCTCTTCCCCAATAGTTCCATCTTCCATTTGGGGTACAGAACATCTGACCATAGACCTTTAGAGTTGCAGTTTGGAACGAAAAGGAATGAGATTCGGACTTTTGCTCGAAAAATGTACAGGTTTGAAGAAACGTGGCTGGAGGATGCCAACTGTGATTCAGTTGTTCTCAATGGTTGGTCCAGTGATATTTATGATGGGAGCCCACAATCCTTATGTCTAAATTGTCCTTCTGTGCTGGGACCCTTTCTAGTTGGGGACGGCGTAGAACTGGAAATTATCACCAACAACTAAAGGAGGCGGAGGGTGTCCTTCAACGTGCAATCCAGGATCTCCCGAATGCTCCTAATCGTGAAGACATCCAACGTGCAGAGGCTAATATGGAGCAGCTCCTTAAGGAAGAGGAAATTTACTGGCGCCAACGTTCTAGGGACCTTTGGCTTAAATGGGGTGATCGGAATACAAAATGGTTTCACAATAAAGCTTCTCACCGGAGACGAAGAAATGAAATTACACGACTGCTAGATCACAGTTGAAAATTGGAGGTGGATAAGACCAAAGTGTCAGGTATTATTGAAACTTATTTCGCTGACTTATTTGCTTCTTCAGCTCCAAGTGCGTTTGATATTGAGCAGGTTACCAGTTGTATTGAGGCTCGGGTTTCTCCTAATCATAATCGAGAGCTTCTAAAGCAATTCAATGTAGAAGAAATCAAGCGGGCCCTAAATCATATTCATCCTAGCAAAGCCCCGGGCCGGATGGTTTTTCAGGCGTTTTCTACAAGAAGTTTTGGCATATCGTGGGTCAGGATGTTACAAACTATTGTTTGAATATACTTAATAATAAAATGGATTTGAGTCCCTTGAATGAAACCATGTTAGTTCTGATTCCGAAAGTTAAAGCTCCACCGAGAGTTTCAGAGTTTCGTCCTATCTCGCTATGCAATGTGTGTTACAAAATCATTTCAAAGGTTCTGGTAAACAGATTAAGAGGTATTTTGGATGCGATCATCTCCCCAAGTCACAGTGCTTTTATTCCAGGAAGGTATATTACGGATACTGCAATATTGGACTATGAATGCATTCGTTCGCTTCGGAATAGGAAATGTGGAAACTCTTCTTGGGCAGCCTTGAAACTTGACATGAGCAAGGCCTATGATAGAATTGAGTGGAACTTTTTAGATGCAGTTATGTTGAAGTTGGGGTTTGCACGGGATTGGGTGGAGCTTGTTATGAATTGTGTTCGCTCGGTTTCGTTTGCCTTCAAGTTTAATGGTGAAAAGGTAGGTCACATTATTCCCCAGCGGGGCCTTAGGCAAGGAGATCCCCTTTCGCCTAACCTGTTTATTATGTGTGCCGAAGGCCTCTCTAGTTGGGGTTTGCACGGGATTGGGTGAAGCTTGTTATGAATTGTGTTCGCTCGGTTTCGTTTGCCTTTAAGTTTAATGGTGAAAAGGTAGGTCACATTATTCCCCAGCGGGGCCTTAGGCAAGGAGATCCCCTTTCGCCTTACCTGTTTATTATGTGTGCCGAAGGCCTCTCTAGTCTTATTCAGCAAGCTTCTATCGTTAACGATGTTTCTGGGCTTTCTATAGCCCGTCAGAGCCTGCCTATCACTCATCTATTCTTCGCTGATGATAGCCTCTTCTTTTTTAAGGCCCGACCTAAGGAGGGCTTGAACATTAAAGAATGCCTCAGGAAATATGAAATAGCTTCTGGCAAGATGGTGAATTATGATAAGTCAGTTCTTGCTTTTAGCCCAAATACGAAAGATGATATCAGGGGTCATATAAGAGATATTCTCTCAGTCAAGCTTGTGGAGTGCCATCAGCAATATCTTGGGCTGCCCACCTTTATGCCAAGGAATAGACGGATGCATTTCAATTACATCAAGGATTGTGGAAGCACCTTCAAGGGTGAAAAGGTAAACTTTTTTCGATTGGGGGTAAAGAGGTGCTTATTAAAGCAATAGTTCAGGCGATTCCCTGCTATACCATGTCTTGTTTCAGACTGCCTAAGAAACTTATCAATGAATTGCATCAACTAGCTGCCCGTTTCTGGTGGGGTTCTGGTGGAAAGGATAGGAAGATCCATTGGGTGGGTTGGAATACTTTATGTAAACCAAAATGTTGTGGTGGCATGGGGTTCCGTGACTTAGAGCTTTTCAATAAGGCTTTACTTGCAAAGCAGAGCTCGCGGATTCTCAATCACCATTTTTACATTAATGTTGTGGTGGCATGGGGTTCCGTGGCGGATTCACAATTTCTAAATTAAAGCAACCATTTTTACATGCTTCTTCTTCATCCTCTAATACTATGACTTCGTGGTGGAAAGGCCTCTGGAATATGAAGATTCCCAGCAAAATCGAAGTATTTATTTGGCGTTTATGTTTGGATAGGCTCCCTACGGATGTCAATCTTACTAAGAGAGGAGTTGATGTCTTAAATTGTTGCTTCTTTTGTGACCACAAAGGGGAGGACAACCTCCATTTGTTCTGGGAGTGTAGCCATGTTAGATTCCATTGGCTCCACTCTAAGTTCTCTCACCTTCCTACAGCTCAACCATATCACAACATGCTGCTTCTTCTTAGGGATTGGAATGAAGTTTTGGGTTGGTCGGATTTTGAGGAATTAGTCGTTTTCCTTTGGGGAGTTTGGAGTCGGAGGAATGATATGGCTTTTAATCCGGATTTGGACAGGACAACCAATGATCTATCTGCTTGGGCCTTTTCTTACATCACAGCTTTTCGGACAGCAAATTCTAATCCTCTACCGAGGGACCAAACTCCTAGAGAATCTCGTTGGCTTCCACTGATTGAAGGGGTATACAAGATTAACACTGACGCTTCCTTCTCTCCTATTGAATGTAATGCAGGTTTAGGGATTATAATCAGAAATTTTAGAGGCCAAGTGATGGCTTCTGCTACCAAATACCTAGAACATGTTCAGTCAGTCGATGATGCAGAGGCCTTAGCGGCTTCGGAGGGCCTGCGGTTGGCGTTGGAGATCTGTCTTCGCCAAGTGCAGCTGGAAACGGACTCTGCCAGAATCTTCAACCTTTTCGTTCATGAGGTGGAGGATTTGTCAGAAACCGGAAATATTGTTCAATATGTCAAAATGGAGGTGGCTACAGTCATTCAAGCATCCTACAACTTCACGAAAAGAGACGGCAACGGAGTAGCGCACATGCTTGCTCAGAGGACTCTTCGGTTTCAGGATCATGGCATCTGGATTGAGGAGTGGCCAGGGGAGTTGAATAGTCAACTTGAGTTAGACTATCTAGATTCCCTTCTGTAATTTTCGTATGCTTGTTCTATTAAAAAAAAAAAAAGCCCAAAAGTCTATTTTAGCCCATTAACTTCTAGGTTTATAAAAAGAGATTTTAATTAGTCTTGAACAAATAACCTTCTATCCCTTGCAAATAATAATAATAATAATAATAATAACCTTCTCTACCTCATCTCTTTTCTTAAATGGATGTTAATTGTTATTCTTTGTTTTTATCAAACCATGCATATAAAAGAGGACTATTTTTAAGATTTATAAAAAATACAAATGAAAAGTACATGTACTTTTATATATTTTTTTAATATTCGTGAGTGTCGAGATCAGTTTGACGTGCTGAAAACACATAGGAATTAATTCTTAAGGTAGGTGGCCACCATAAGTAATGAACTCATTCTGTCTCAATTAATCCTAGTTCTTTTGGATGAATGGAAGAAAAAAAAAGTATAGATACTAAATTTGAACATTTGAAGCTACGTGAACTAAAATAGAATATATTCCAAAGCACAAAGATGAAAATGTTATTTGACGAAAATATTATCTTATAGGCATAACAACACTAAATTTTAGACATGATTAGAAACCAAATTACACACACAAATGTTTTCTAGGGGCTCATTCTAAGCTTTCTCTCTTGAGAAAGCATTTTGGCAAATTCAGTGAGAGCTTCTTCATTTGTGATATCTTCATCAGCTGGTTCATGTTCTCCAGTTTCTAAATTTATTCTTGACAATGGTTTCTTCAACAAATCTTTCCCCACCTCTGTTAACTTCTTCAAATTTTCCATGGTTGCAATATCAACTGATGCCACTTCCCCAATCAAATCATCCTCCTATTACACAGCCACCATGATAGTTTTAAAACTAAATGATAAGATCTTAACGGAAAAACCCGGTTTAAATGTGTATTTTGGTCTCTGAACTCTCAAAGCGCATCTATTGTAATCCGTGAACTTGTATAAAATAGTTAGCTAGGGTTGAATTAATTACAAGTTTTTTGTCCTTTGACTTTCAAAGGTGTGTCGTGTAATAATAGATTCCTGAACTTTAAAAGATGTAATAGGTCTTCAGACTTTCAATTTTGGGCCTGTAGATACGGTTTAAAGTTAAAGAACTAAACTTGTAATTTAACCGATAGTTATTTTGATCTATATAGTTATTCTACAAATGGATGACGACGTAGCTAGGAGCAGAATAACGACGTGAATGAAAAAATGGTTAATTTCTGAAGTGCAGGGATATACATACCTGAATTCGGAGATAATTTTCTTTAGAATTCGAGGACTGGAAGAAAGAAGAAATGTGGTAGTCAACCATATCGGCACTCGCATCACTGAAAATATCAACTATAGGAGTCGCCCCACCGTCATAAATCCAATCAAGCATACCCCATTTTGCAGCTTTACTAGCACTATACTTGCCAACATTCTTAGCTAGACCTGTGCCTAAAGAGAGGATCAACATCCTCTTTGTTTCCATGGGTTTGATCTTTAATAGTTCACTTCTTCGTCTTGAGAGATTGATCTCTTTCATAGCATGTGTTATGGCAGTCAACGTCTATACATAAAATATTAATCAGTCGAAAAACTTTTACGAATATTGATAACCTTTTCGTTTTTAGTTTTCTATTCTTAAAAAAGTTAAAGCTTAGAAACATTACTTCTACCAAAGGTTGGTTTCTTAAAACTTGTTTTTGGTTTCGAAATTTGGTTAAGAATCAAAATATGTTTTTGGTGAAAAACATACCAATCAAATTGTGAGAAATCTAGCGTAATTTTTAGAAGTAGAAAACAAAAATTGAAATGGTTATGAAATGAGCGTTAGGCTTTACTAATTGATGTGAAAACTTACGGGATTGTTAGCTGCAACTCCACCATCGACCATATTAAACGTTTGTGTCTTTCCCTTAGAGTCCTTAGTTTGAAATTCGTGTGTTGGCAAGTACGTTGGTGCTGCAGATGTACTAATGCAAACATCTATCAACTTTGGATTCTTCAACTCATCCCAGGTTGCCTACATGTAGAGTCAATGTAATTACGTATTCTCCGACTTTTGATCGTTAATTTATAACCACTTTGATCTTGAACTTTTAGTATTGTGTATAACATATAGATCCTTAAATTTTAAAAAGTGTCTAATAATAGGTTCTTGAAATTTCAACGCGGTATCTAAATAATAGATCATCCCTAAACTTTAAAAAAGTGTCTAGTTCTTCAAATTTCAATTTTTGTATCTAATAAATCTTTAAACTTTTGATTTTGTATCCAATAAATCTCTGATTTATGAGACATTCTTAAAGTTTAGGAGCTTATATTGGACACAAAAAATTGAAGTCATAGGAAATTATTAGACATGTTTTAAAGTTGAAGGATCTGTTAAACACAATATTAAAAGCTTATAGACTTATTTAGACACAATTTTCAAAATTCAAAGACCAAACTTATAATTTAACCCAATAATTTTTCTTACTTCAATGCTGGAGAAGACCACAGGCTGAAGAAGTTTGATGTCAAAGGCGGGAATAACTACATTTGTCAATGTTTGCTTAAGAGTCATGTCGCCGAGTAACTCTTTTACCAATGACCTCAAGTATTTCCCGTCATACTTTGGCCCCATAACTTGCCCAAATAAATTGACCACTGAACTGAACAAATGGCTGATATACATTACAAAAAAAAAAAAAAAAAAACACTAGTTTAGTATGTGTTGGTTAAAAAGTTGGCTAAAACTTAGAAGTTATACGAGGAACCAACTTTCTTTGAGGAAAAATCTTTGGAGCATGTTGTAAATAGAAGTTGACGAGATCTTTTGCTGCATAAAGAGGTTTGTTAGTGTCCTTGTTGGGAGCTGTAAGCATGGTGGTGACCAAACCACCGGTACTTGTTCCAGCAATTATGTCGAAGTAATTTGCTATTCTTACTTCTGGACCGTCCAATTCCTAACCAAAGCCAACACCCAGAAAACAAAAATCAGATTTTCTAAATACGTAGTTAATTAGCAATTTTCAATATTTAAAGTACGCTTCGTAACATTCTCGTTTCTTGTTTCTCATTATAAAATCTTTACATGAAAATTAATTTTTAAAATAAAATATTAAAATGGTTTATGTTATATTTCTTTTTTTTTTTTTAAATACTATGCATTATATAAGTAAAAGAATGATAAAATTATAAATATATTTTCAAAACCAGAAACGAGAATGAAAAACAATAAATAAATTTTTGCTATTTACAGTCTTGAAAAGTGTTTCTTAAAAATGAAAAATAAGTATAAAAACAAATATCAGACACTTATGTTTTTCAAAAACTAGAAAATAAGAAATAGAAAACAAGGAATAAAAACCTCGAAACGTACATATATGTATGTATTACCTGAAGCTTCGATTCGAGAAAAGCTAGAATAGTCCCGGGGATAATTCCTCTAATACCCCCTCCGTCGATGCTCAAAATTGTTACCATCTTCCCCTTTCGAAAATCAGCTGTCATGTTTAATTTGTATGGTTCCTATAGTTTTGCAAATTCCAAGTTTATGATGTAGAAAGAAAGCCATATGTAAAGGGGATTTTATAAGGGGAAGAAATTAGAAGCTCAATTACAATATAATTAAAATGGAAGAACCCTAAAATTATGGTCAATGGTGCATGTGCATATAATATGGTTAATTTTAAATATATTTTTCATTGGAATATAATACACACTATTTCTATAGGTTTCTTTATGTTTCAAGTTATGGATATAATTTTACTATAAAAGACAAAGTCAACGATGATAGGCTTGAGGAATTCTTTTTTTAAGAGAAATCATTATCATATATAATCATACACGATAAGTTGTAATTTTTTTTTTAAATATGATCTAATCATTGTATTTTAAATAGATGGCTTAAATATCAATCTCGATATAGTTCAATATATATCATCAATTAAAAGGTTGGAGTTCGAATTTCCAATCTATCACCATTTGTATTGTAGTATTACTGTTCAAATATGACGAGAGAATTTGAAGTTTTGACAAGTTTATTAATACTTTAAACTCATTGTTATGACATTTTCTAAATAAATAAAAAAAATAAAATTGTTATGACAAGGTGACAGGTGAGATTTTTTTTTTTACTTGCAATTATTTTTTTCAATAAATAATACTAACTAGGTGTTAAATTCGACCGCATGCTTTGGCGGGAAAAAAAAGGAAGTTCGACAAAGGCACGAGAGAAGTATTACTCTTAACAAATTTATTTGCTTGATATATGCTAATCTCCAAATATTGGTTCAATTTTTATATATGAATATGAAATTTCTTTTATAATAAATTTAAGGTTTAAATACTATTTTGATGGCCAACATTAATCTAGTTCAGCAGTCATTTGCATATACTACTTTTAAGTCAGAGATTCGATCCCTCATATTTTCAAATTGTTGTACTAAAAAAAATAAATACTATTTTATCTAGTACTTTCGATTTCGATTTATTTTAGTCTTTTACTTTCAAAATGCTATTTTGACTTTTGTATTTTTAACTTTTGTTCATTTTTCTCTCTACTTCCAAAACATTTATTATAGTCTTTATACTTTTAAATGATCTCTATTTTCAAACTTTTAACACAAACTTTGTACATAATGAGAACTCTTTAATGATACAAAATTATGACTACATTTCGAGCAATTTAGTGAGTGGAGTATCATACAAAAATGTTGATCATAATAAATGAGAATAAAAATGAAAATGAAGAAACCAGAATGGTAACTTTTAAAGTATAAGAACCGAAACAAACATGTAGAATGTGTAGAGACTAAAATGAATAAAAATTAAAATTATAGCGACAAAAAATAGATGTTTAAAAGTACAATAATCAAAATGAATAAAATAAAAAAGTACCTGCACCGAAATATTTAAAGTTAACATAAAATTACTAGAGAAATGCTTTTTTAAAAAAGAGAGAACTATTACAAGAAAGGACAGCAAGATAAAGAGATTTTTAAAGACCCATGGGATAGGGTTGTCCAAAATTCTTTGAAAAATACTTTTAAAATAACCCATTTTGAATCACATGGTTCATTATTTTATTTCCTTTCTTGTTTCATTGGTTTCTTTGATGGGAAAATAATACCAACATTGATTGTGAGCTTGCAATATTTTTTAGTACAACAACACTCGAGGTAGAGATTCGAACCCACCGTCTTTTAATCGGTGACATATATCTTAACTAGTTGTGCTTAGGTTGACATAAGTTTGAAATATTTAATTGTAGAATGAGTCATTTCAATTGTATTGATGATGTGTACCTTTCCAAGGAAGAAAAAAGTATTGATCTGTTTAATATATTATTTATTTAAATAAGATGATGTGCAAATCTGAGCATAACTAAAGTGGTTAATACATATATGTCCTCGATTAAGAGGTCGTAGGTTGGAATCTCCACCTCATATATTGTTTTACTAAAGAAAATAAAATAAAAGGATTTATGCATGAATAACTCATTTACAAACTCATATTACAAAAATAAAAATAATAGTAAATAAAACGTTTAACATTGAATAATAACCACAAAATTTGTTGGTTTAGACATGTAAAGTGAGAGAGGATCGGCCCACACTTTCTCAATGCTTTATTTAATGTTATCTTTTTGTTTTTCTTCTAAGAAAAGACAAGAATAGTAAAATTACAAATAAAAGTCTCTTTCTACTCATCTAATATATGAAGTCAAGTAGTTGCTACAATATACAAGCTTCTAGAAAGGTAGTGCAAACTAGGTATTACTTTAAAATCTTAAACCTTTCCCCAAAAAAAAAAAGAATAATAATAATAATTTAACACAAATATTTTCGATCGAGGTTCGAATCCTCATCCCTACATATTGTTGAATTTCAAAAGGAGGTGAAAAAAGTACGAGTAAGAAAGATAGAATAACTAAGAAAGTTACCTGGCAGATTCATATTTGAAAAAATCTCTTCAACTATTCATAACTTCTCAATGCAATCAATAAACAACCCATTGAATTTTTTTAGATACTTCTCCAAGTTTAGGCACAAAACAATGAAGAATATGAAGAGTATGTTCTAGACTTCTATCTAAGTGTGCTTCTTCTTTAAGTTGTATAAGATTGACTTAATCAACTCAAAGCAAACTCTTAAAACCATATTAAAGATTAAAATTCCCTCTTTGAAGTCTCCCTAAGGTTCTACTTATAATAGAAGTAATCAAAGTTCAACCCCCTTTCGCCAGCAAGGCTGTTTGGGTACCAAAATGAGGGTACAACTCACCATTTTATCAATAATATGTAGGGAGTTCTATGATAAAATTGCAAAAATAAAAAATTTGCACCTATACACCTTAGCAATGTTTTACAAATTCACTATATTTTATTCTTTAAAATATGTAGTTGTTCCCAAAATGATGTGTTGCTGATCTTATTTGTTGATCAACCGATAAGCTAATCAGTTAATAGGATCAACGAGATGGGTGGGAGACCATGCTTTATGAGAAAAAAAAAAATACAAAACCATAGGACACATATCTTTCACAAATATGTACTTTCGAAATATTTTAAGATGTATTTGGATGCCAAAATCACTTTTGTCATTGTCAAAATCATTTGTGTCATTCTATTGATCTCCCGTCATATCATTACCTCCAAACATACTCTTACTCATACGAAAATAAGTAAATTCGACCAATAATTTTTATCGACTAACAAGAAGACCAAATATGCAAATAATCTGGCCCCATTGTGGGTAAGCAATGATTACTAGTTGATATAAAAAAATGGTAAAAAGTTTGTCAAAAATCGATTTAAAAATTAAAAAGTCAATCCGGTATGACCATAATTCTAAATATCCATCGACATATCGACATTCCTATTGATATATCTATGTTTCCATAGGTTCAACATCGACATGAGTGGTAATTTGACATTTCCATCATAGTACAAGAAAATCAACAGAATATAAAAAATATCAACAAAATCTCACTAATATATACATTATATTAATATTAACTCATTTAGAAATAGGAAAATATTTATTTGTTATGTAAACATTTTTTACAATTTTTTAATTTTTCTAAATTTTACACAAATATCCATAATTACCATAAAATTGAAACCTCGACATTTCCATCAAAATTTAAAATATTGGATATGACTAAACCAATTTAATAATTTAGGTGTTTTTGGAGTGAATTGGACATACCTTCTAATTTACACCATTTTCAAAAATATATTTTATAAAAATAGTTTTTATTAAGATATGCATTTGATTTCGTTTTCTTAATCACAAACTGATTTGGTATACTGTATTTAAAAGTCAAACTACCACAGAGTGCTTCTAAAGTGATCCCCAATTAATTAATCTAAAATCACTCTTTAGAGAACCAAATTTTAAAGTAACTCTTCCTTAAATGATTTAAAACCAATTTGATTCTTTCAAAATTAAATTTTATTTATTACGAAACACTCTACATTTAAAAAACTAAAAAAATAATAATAATATGGCATTTTTTACGTTAATCCAAACTAAATTAATTAGTTGATATGGTCTAAAATTAAACCGAACCAATTTAAACCCTTAGATAAAAGTATAAAAACAATTCTCTAACATTCAATGATATTTTACTACATTTTAGTAGTCATCCTCAAGGGAAATCATCTAAATCTATATGATAAACTTGTATTCAATTAATATAATTCCCCAATTTGAAAGAAAAAAAAAATAAAAAAAAAAACTTGGAAAACCGTACCATTACTACAACATTGAATGCTTGTATATAATCAAATTATTCGTGGAAAACCATATCATCCTAAAAAAATCGTTAAAATGGATTCCATTTTCTTTAAGCATAGTTAGAGAATAACATAGCTAACTAATAACTTCTAACCCATACAACCGACCTTCCCCGATCGATCCATGTCTCGGCTAAAGAACAGCTATTATGATAGTTCAAAAGCAAAGCAAAGAATGCAATAAGCATACGTCGAGAGAGACGATACCGATCTGCAAAGAAGGTCGAAAGTCCAAATATGTTCCTCAGATAGGGCAATTCATTCTGTTGCCTGTTTTTACCATCTCATCTCATCACTACTTCAAGGCTGGAGGGTCTGTCTTGTTCAGTATGGGCGATACCTCCAGTCTGCTCTAGATGGTCTTCCACCACCAATTCCATAACCCCACTGCACAACATCAACACACCAATCTTAAAACCCTGAGATATCACTTCAGTTTTGAATGTTCGGGTGTTTTTTCAATTTAGTCAAATATTCAAATTTGGAGATGTAATTAAGCCAAGATCAGATTTTATAATTCTATCCTCCAAATTTCTAAGAAGTTGATAGAATTTACAGCCTAATTTTCCTTTTAAATTTGTCTAACTATGTACCATGTAATAACTTAATATCAACCAATCCTAATATTGGCTGATACAAATGGAATAATTAAATAATATTAAAATGTAAGGGACTAAATTGAAAGAATACCCAAATGACTAAAAAGTTAAACACATAACAAACTTCTAAAAAGAGATTAGGGTCATAACCATTCCTTTTTCTGTTTTTGGTTTTATCAAAAAAAATAATAATAATAAGGTAGTGTTTTTAGTCATAATGTCCTTTCGTTTTATATTTGGTAATTCTACAAATTTTAACTAAAATTCAGAAATAAAAACAATTTTCTTAAAACTACTTGTTGACACTAAATTATTGTCTACAGAGTGCAAGAACTATTTCAGGTAAAGTACTCAAATATGTCATAATTTTTCCTATGCATTTTAGTGACCTTGAAGGAAAATGGTGAGGACCCATTTTTATGGACTCATCTATCAGGCCATCCTAGATATAGAAATCTCAATTCTAAAGTTATAATATGGATTTACCAAGTGTAAAGCTCACTTTATATAGTGGAAAACCTACTAATCACCTCATAAATTCCAACTTGAACGTAATTCACAAAGCAAGCAAAAGAAGAATCACTTACATCATCAAAATCCAGGCTCCCATACATCCTTCCATAAGTCCTCATAGGTCCACCACCATAGCCACCAAACGATTCTGCTGCACTGTTCATCATAAAACTTCCACTTGCTCCAGCTCCAGTCGGAGCTCCAGCATCATCAAGAGGCGTGGCTGAATCTATAGCAACCTGCAGACTCCGAAAGTGAGATTAGCATTCTGGACTGAAGAATATTTCATAACTCAAGAGTAAAGCTTTGGTAATAATCATATAACTTATAACCACTATTCACAAGAGAAAGAACAATGCTTGGCAATCTTTCCCACAAAAATTGTTGGTGAAAATTCGTGACGAACAGACATATGCGTCCAAAATGGCTCCAATCAGTGTATATGAAAGGAGGAATTAGCTGTAGAAAATTTTAGAAGGGTGCTACAATCGGAAGCTAAAAAACTGTCAGATCGTTTCTGAAAAGCTCCTGAAGAGTCAAAGACCAGCACGCTAAAGCATTTTCCTAAAGCACTTTTTCAAGGTTACCCGGAGAAGCTTGTTCGTGAAATTGTGTAGCAAAAGAAAGATTACTCCAATAAAATTGAATTTGCTGAAGGTAACGCTCCAACATTAGCAGCAAACACACAATAGAGAAAAAGGTGGTTCCGATTTTCTTCTTGATTTTGCACATCATGCACCAACCTTTCAAAGCCAAAAGGAAGACCTTTTAACCTTTTCAGAATTTTTATGTTCCAAATTCAGTTCCCTAGGGCATAGCTGGTAGCTCTAATATGATGGAACGTGGAAAAGACTTTCCTGAAAAGTCCAGCATCCAAATTCACCTGTCACCGTGATGGAAAGGTTCAAAACCATCACTTTTCTTCGTAAAATTTGAGAAATACAGAAGTTTTGGTTCTCTTATAGAATTTCCTCCTCCACAAGGTAGTAAAAAGTCTTTGCTGGCTGTTTTGTTCATCTTTATTAGTTGTTTAGTTTTGAAGATAAGCAAGCCATTTTAATTGGAAAGATCCCCAAAAGTTTCAGAGCTCCCATAACTTTAAAGGATCTTTGTTTGTTAAAATCTTGCCAAACAAATAGCAGAAACAGCCTCAAACTCTCTCAATAATTGCTCTCTCACAGAATAGAATTGGACAATAGACAACTACTGTAAGCAAAAAGTGAAATCATCGACAAGTTAGAAATCTGTAGAAACAGTAAAAACTTCCAACACTGGAAACAAATGTATAATATATTTAAAAAAAGAAAAAGAAAAGAAAAAGAAAGAAAGAAAGAATCAACCCACACGAACGGAGCCTAAACAAAGGAACCAAAAGAAAAATTACAGAAAGAGCTCTGAACCCAAAAAATTCAAAATTCAAAATTCAAATAACCATATAATTGAACGCTTTAGAAAAAAGAACATACAATTCTAGTGTTTCATATCCATTTTTATCAAAACATGTATTTATCAATTAAATTACAAAAAACAGCTCCAATCTTTACCATCCCAGCACATGTTCAAACTTCAAACAGACAATTATGCTTCCTTCTAGCAAGCAAAGTGACACGTAGACGCATTACCTGTTGTCCACAGATCTCATGAGATCTTCGAGACACACGATCTGCCACACCATCTTCAGCAAAAGTTACAAAGCCAAAACCTCGATGACCAGATCTTTTAGGATCCTACATTAATCAGCAACAACAGGATCTTTAGGCTATCTAAATTAGTCACTCTTATAAAAGTAGCAATAACTAAATCTAATCTTACCTTGGGAACATAGACATCCAAAATACGGCCAAATCTACCAAAATATTGGCGGAGATCATCAGAAGATGCTTCTTGTGGGAGCCTACCAACAAAAATCTTTTTTCCCATCCCTCGTAATTCCCTTCCTACTTCAATGACAAAGTAAATCATCACAAGTCACAACAATATTATGAAGGCTAAGCATCACACGAAGGATACTATCAGAGAAACATACTCCCATAAACTGAGCCTGGATGGTCGTATAAGGTAGGAGCACCAAGTGCTGCATATCTTGTTGCTGCAGAAATATAAGCATTATATGCACCATATCCACCACCACTACTCCCTTGCGCCATTTTCCCTATGGGCCTGAAATCATCATCCTGGAAATATAGTATATTTACCTTTAATTAGACGTACAAAATTAATTAAAATTAAAAAAAAAAGATATCCTTTGGAAGATAAATATGGTGTTAAACAGTCAATTCCAAAAACTTGCCTTGGGGGTTGCTCTATCCACAACCACAGTAGAACCTCCTAATTCATGAGTTTCAGCCATCAAATTTTCCACAGAATCTGCAAGACAAAGTTGTCACATTCAGTGCCTTGAATCATAGGCAACAATGAAATAGTCGCCGGAGTTTTTCATTATAAACAATGAAATAGAATAGTTGAAAGTTTAATATTAATGTGAAAATAGTATGATGAGGATTGAAAACAAAATTAAACCGAAAGACAGGCAATATCAAGCACAAGGGAAAAGAAAAACCCTCTGGAACTTTTTAAATGAAACATGACGAAAGTACAACCAAAAGGAGACCATATAAAAAACAGAAACAAACGAACTATTAAAGTGGTACATCCCTAACTTTATCCCAAGAACTCTCAATACACTAAAACTTCTCTGTAACCAAATGTTCCAAAGAAATTCCAAAACAAACCTGCCTACAAGAAGAAAAATCAAAGAAGCTCAGACATGGTGACACATTATCTTCTAAAAACCTAGGATGACAGGGATACAGCAAGAATATGTTTATTAGAAATAGAATATACATTTTTTTAAAATATATATCATGTTTATACAAGAGAAAATTTATTAATTTTAAAATATATTACTATTTGTCTATTTATTATGTTTAACAAATGTTCAACATGCCCTCCAATTCCTTATAAGGTTATTTAAGTTGTAGCTAGAGAAAGAAGAAAAGTAAATTTTACACCAGCTAAGAGCTAAAAGAAAAATCCCATTACAAAAATTGTTGAAAGGCTGGGACTTGTTGTTAAAGATTCTGTTATTCCTTTTTCTCCATAAACTCCATAAGAAGGCTTTGATGAAGAGGGACCACGTAATCTTCCTGTTCTTTTTGAATGGGTGACCCCCCAAGGTTGCTTGTAGTAGAGTGTTAACATGTGTCTAATTATAATCAAAGTGTCCAAACACTTGTTCGAGTCTTGGACGATAGACCATGACACGTTATTCAAACTAAAGTGTTTGTGCTTTATAGCTTGAAATAATTTAAGGTAAAATAAACTTCCTCCAATAAATACCACTAAAACAGATCAGAAGAATTTCTCCAACAAAAGAAAAAAGAAAAAGTGCACCTTATAAGAGATTAGAGGCTTTATTCTTACGAGATGTTCTTTTTTCTCCACAATCTATATAATAAACCCCCTAATCGCTTAAACTTTTCATTATCTAATTTTTCATAATACTATTTTTTTTTTCATATACAAAAACATTATTTAAATTCTACTATTGTGTGCCATGCAAAGAAAACCCCTTGCCTTTTTTTCACCTTGCGGTTAAGCCCCAAAGACTATTGTGCTTTACTGCGCCTCACACTTTTAGAAACACCAGTACTACTAATTTAGTACTTTTTTAATTATAGTTTAACCTTGTTTGTATATGTTGGCAACTTTCATTGTATCTTCTTTTGTGCTAGATTCTCTCCCTCCCCTTTCTTTGTAATATCATTGTCATCTAATTGATGGATAAAGTGACTGGAGCAACTCGTAACCGATCCAAGGATCCTTCCCAAAAAAAATTACTGTCCCCCCAACAGAAAATTCAATAAACTAGGCAAGACATACACTTGAGGGAGTTGTCTAGCCTCACCAAGCGAGACACTAAAGGGCTTACTGCTTGGAGCTCCAAGGAGCACATCTAAATGCACCTCTCAAAACAGTGATTGATCTGGTATATTATGGACAAATCAGGGCATTAAATTTCCATCAATATGTCAACACTTTCATCAATACTTCCATAAGTCCATGAGTTCGACATAGACACAAGGAGTGAATTGATATTTCTATAGTATCAGAAAAACACTTTGACAAAATCTAAAAAAAAATATCAACAAAATACCACTAGTCTAAACATAATATTAATATTAATAATTTTTAACTTATTTAAAAATGATGAATTGTTTATTTGTTAATTTAAATATTTGTTATAAATTTTTTTATATAATTTTTCCGGAATTATCCATTGACGTCAACATTTTCATAAAATTGATACCTCGACATGTCCATCGACATCTACAACTTTGGGACTAATTCAATAATAATATATATCATCCATTTAAACAGTATCTTAAAAAAAAAAGAAAAAAAAAACCCTCAACTACAACACAAATACCCAAATATCCTTCAAAATAGGACGGCCTCTATGTTTTAGCTTCTTCTGGGAAGGAGTTTCCTCTACCCCTTGCCCTTAGGCTGTTTTTTTGTGATTATTATACATCTTCTCTGTTTCTTATCGAAAAACAGACAAATACATTTTTTAGAAATTTAAGAAACAAATAAAAAATGGTTAACTTGAACTCAGCAATCATATGTTACATCAACATAAAAAGATAATCGAACCTGAACTTGCAAAAGTGATGAAACCTATTCCACGATGCATTTTTGAGCCCTGATCCTGAATAATTAATCAAGGAAGCATTAAAAGAGGTCAAACACATGGTACCTCGTACTTAAAAATGGTTGCACATATGTGGTCAAATCAATATTTTTCCAATTTTACATAGTACATGAACTTGTGGAAGCGAAGTAAGAATAAAAAATCTCCTTCCTGTTTTACTTTTACACAAGACACTTGAAAAGTATAATAACCACATAACAAATTTTCCCAGTTCAGCAAAAAGGAAAGCGTACCTTAGGCATGTAAAGATCTGTTATCTCTCCATATTTCTCAAAATGACTGCAAAAAACATTAAAAAAAACCACAAAATTCATTTTCATCCTGAATCGTAAACCACAAAAAAAAATGGTCATCAATCATGAATGAAAAACATGTATCAATTTCTTAAAACAAACATTGCAACTCTGCTACAAGATGCTTGAATAGTATTTTAGGTTTTTTTTTTTTGAATGAGAAACCAAACTTTCATTAAGAAACATGAAAGAAAATACAAGGGCAAAAAAAACAGCTCCTCTAAAAAAGTTAAAACCTAACTAATAATTACAAAACGGTTTAGTAACCGAGACCCATAAAGAGGTATTAAATCTAACA